CGTTGAGCGCTTGGTGACGTGGCTAGCTTGACATCATCATACCTTACCTATCTGAAGTTTTTCAGCAGCAGCAGTAGCAGCAGCGGCCATGGGCGGCCGCATTTACATCATTTTGGACCGTTGACGATGCGACCTGTTCTCTGCACCAGCACGAGGTAAAACTCCACTGCTTGGGCATGAAGTGTGAGCGTCTATCCATCTTGCTTGCTTGTGACACTGAGACATGGGGACGGTGCGTGCCGTGCCTCGTGGCGAGATGCGAGTGTCTTTGAAAGCCTGAATGCCGGAGCCTGATCTTGTTTTTGGAGATAACGTGACATGTTAGTCTGCCGTCAGTGAGGCCGTTGGTCTTGGATCACCGGTTTTGATACCCACGAGTGTTTATGCCTTAGACGTGGAAGGGGTGTTATGAAGAAGGCGTGTCTGGTCAACAAACGAGAATGCTTCAACGCGTCGAATGTCTCGTCACTTTTCTCATGTTGACATGTTGACGTTTCTCTTACCTGTAACCCACAACATTGGACTCGTGGTTGGAAGCATGTTAGTCGTGATGTCAGCTGTTGCTTCAATCATCCCACCGCTCACTATCATGAGCTGTCCAGCCTGAGCCAAAGTTGCTTTCAAGTCCGAGTCTGCCGAAGGGCTCAACGAGAAACCAAGTAAAGCAGCCCAAGTTTGGTCTTTGTATAGTACCGTATTGTGGTATGTCATGCCTGGACTTGTCTGGGGCGTTGCAAGACAGAATAGACGAGCTGCTTGCCCCGGCAACTGAGGAGCGACCAAATCGCCTACACCACGAGACCCTCGACTAGACCTGCCGACTATGCAATCCCTCAGAGATTGCAAAGGATATGTCGACACACGGTCCATGTTTGCAGTGGGGAATGCCCGTCGAAGCCCGTGTGGAGTTGACGTCGGAGGCTCGGACTTGAATAGCAAACGTACTATGTACTGTAGTATCGTGCTACAGTAGCATGCGGCATATCATAGAGAGAGGGATTAATCAAACGTTGAGCGAGACTATCTCTATCTCTGGTTCTTCCTCGGTTGTCGATTCCAGATCAAACGAGCGAGGCGTCTATCTTTCGTCGGCGTCGGCCGCCAAAAGAGACGGCGGTTGTTCCCGGGAGCCATCTCCAAGCCTTCGAATCCCCCCTGCAGCAGAAATGGCCTGATGGGAAGCAATTTGCTGGTTGGCCACCAACTGACAGTGGATCGAGCTGCGATGCGGCTGACATCCATATTTTTTGCTGGGGATGCACGAGAGGCACCGTCAACGTCGGGTCGGGTCGAGGCTGTCTGCCTGTCTCGCCTTTGTTTTGTTTGGACTCGACTCGACTCGACTCGACTCGACTCGACAACTGCATGGCAGCCAGACCTGGTCTGCCTGTCTATCATGAGGGGATCTGCAGGGTCTCCAACGTAACCCAGGACTATTGGAGGGGCTACTGGCGCGCGTACGCCTCTCTGGCCTGACTCGGGGCCAAGTCTGAAGCAGGTCCGAGATGGGCATTCATTCTGTTGAGGACGCTCGCTCGAGAGGAGCATCTCATCCGCATGAAGCGCTTCATTCCCTAGGCGCGCGCCGTCTGCTGCTATCCCATCCCCCATCCTCCATTCTCGGAGGAATAAGGACGCAGATCCTTCTTGGACTAGAGGGAGGCGTGCAAGGCGTGCCACCACCAGGTGAGACGTGCACACGGAAAGCAGCTAGGATCTCGCGGGAGCACCCTGGTCATAGATGCGGTCAAGCAATCAGGGGAAGGTCAGAGATTGATATGGAACAGGGCAGCTGAAGAGGGGGTGTTTAGCTTGGGATGAGCCACGAGCCATGGCGTTCCTGAAAGGTCATGCTCTCAACTGATGATACTATCGTTGTCCAGTCCCGGCGTGGGGAGGTGCTGACATCACCATCACGGGTCGTGTTGCAACATGAACGGGCGATCCGCCGACCGGATCGTAGGCCAGACTGTGCGTGGTGTCTCTAAGCCTTGTGCTGCTATCTCGAGAGACAAGACACACAGACACCAGGTGGCCACTGCTTCACAACTCCGGGGAGAGGTTGGCCAACGCGGTGCGTGGCTGACGAGCACGACACCATGCAGTGCATTGACCTGATACTCTTGTGTGTGGCCGGCAATTCCCTGCTTCCTGAATATCGCAGATGCACCCTCAGCGCTCTAGATGTCATCGATGCCGCATGTGGGTGCCGCCAGTTGCTTTGTCTGCAGTCGATATGTGCACCTCAGAGGCACTTGTTGCGCACGACATACTCCGAGATCGTGGCCCAGGTTCTCCAGCCCGCCCGCCGCAGAGATGCCCTTGTCGGCGGTTGCGGTATGAGCCCATCCCATCAGGCTCTTTCTGATTCCAGGGCTCGCCTCTGTTCCTCGCGAGGATGCAAGCCTGGGGAACCCGGTCACTAGAGCGCAAGCGAGCTTCGAGTTGCGTCAACCGTACTTGTTCAGTCAGAATGTTGCGACCTCGTGTCAGACTTGGCAGGCTTCACGATAGTATAGCCACTTTGACGGTGGAGAACCGTGGGCATACTGTAGGTTCGTGTCAAGGCCGCTGGAGGGCCGGATGCCTCCTCCTCCTGGTGATGGATCAACCATCTGTAAGAGAAGGACAGGCCACGAGCTTGCAGAGTACAAAGACTGAGGAACGATTTACCGCATTAACTCACATGCGCGGACATATCGTGCAGATCCGGAACAGGAATCGAGACTAGATTTTGCCAGAGGATAGCCCCCTGATTGGCCGCTGTGCTTGGATGGAGGTGTCTCTGCACCCATCTTTGACGTGTTCGCTGGCAGTGCATCACGAGTACAGGTCTCAGACGGCCAAGGTGACAGACAGATGAATGGGGCTTCTTGGGAAATAGAGCGGGATCGACGGTAGAGCAAGGTTTGCGCGACCCTGGTGGAGTCCGAGCAGGCCAACACTGTGCACCGTCGCTCTCCTGCCCTTTTGCAAGTGAACCCCCTCGAGCATGGGTTCGAAGGCTGGTCGCTGACGGTCCCTCTGATTCTGGAGATGGCTGGCAATCGTCTGTCGAGAGATTTACCGCCCGAGTCACGAAACAACAACAGCCGAGTTCCCCTGCTCCGAGACTCCGTGTCGATCCTGGCCCATCGTGCGCCTTAGTTTTTTAGGGACCTTGAGAACTGGACTCGAATCGGACGGAGTCGCAAGGCCGCATTCTCCTGCTTAAACCGTCCACCTGGCTAGGGACCAGAGTACATAGTACAAAGGAGCACACCCTCGCACGTGCAGCTTTGCGGTGCATTCCAAGCCTCAAGACACCAGAGGGCCAGCCCGCGACGGTTGTGCGTCCATCAGCATGTGGCTTGCCGCCGCGAACCAGTTGGGGATGACTTGCGTGGCGGACCGGAGCGCCGTGACGGGCATGTCTTGGAGCGACTCGGCGTGGGCGAGCTAATCACCAAGAACTGCAACACACGATGGCAGATTGGTGGAGTAGTTTGATGCGCGACGTGCAGGAGCCCGAGGCCAGAACAGGCATGACAAGAGGCCGATTAAAGCCAAAGGGATTTGGCATCCGCAGTCAGGGTAATATAGACCGGTACAGGTTCGCCACGATGAAGACTGTTGCACGCCAATGCAGCCTGTGCTGTAACGATACGCTGCTGCAAGGTGAGGTGGGCGGGATACGACGGCGTTGACGGCCAAGTTTGATGGACGGATGTGAGCCCCTCCAGGGGACCGCGGGACAGTGCGGAGACACAGTGCGCGGCTCAGCTAATGACCTCTGAAAGGGGTGTATTGCGAGTGGAGGGCCTGAGCCATGGCGCCTAGCGCACTGTGCTAGTTCCGGCCCTGAATCCTTAGTTGAACAATGCAGCCGAGGCTGGCCTCAATTCGGAGGTTGGGGGACTCGAGAAAGAAGATGGCGTAATGGAGGGAATCCGTCTTGCCATGGTAATCTGATAATATCCTCATCTGTGTTCAGGTCCAGGTCGACGCCTCGGGCGGATCTGAGAAACGAGGCACACTCAATGAGGACCAGTCAGGGACAGAGCTCCATCGCCATCTGCAAACTACCCGCGCTCGATGCAGCTGCGTCGATGAGTGGCCGCGACGGATCTGCTGGCGAGGCGCCCCGCTGCATATCGTGACTTTTCGACACGGACGGGATTGAGCACCAAGTGGGAAGGGGCTATTTTGGTGGATGTCGATGGCTGACCCATGTGCCCTGGGTTTGGTCCCTGTTTAGAACCTGCGATAGGCCGAGTTCTTGAATCAAGTCAAGTCAATCGGCCTCAGGTGGACTGGATCGGGGACTGGATCACGACCCTCGGACGTTTGGCGGCGGCCGCGGCTGTTGAGGTGGTCGGGAAGATGGACTGTGCGCACTGTGCTGGGGATACCGTGGTCGTGTTTGCCGCTGTCAGCAAGTTGTGGCCTCGCTAGTGCGACCGCTCTGACAGTTGTACAGGGCGTCAGGCGCTGTATGCACTGTACTCGCCCTAGAGCTCACAGTGCATCACTTCGCCCATCCCTCAGCCCCCATTGGCCGAGTGCCTCCACATGGGGCGCAGGAAGGTTGCAGCAGAAGGGTTCCGGGGTGTGGTCCCTTCCCTTCAGCGGGTCGGGTGCGTCCTCCAGCGGACGAGTTTAGCGGGCTATTCAGCGGCTGCTCAGTGGCCGCTTAGTGAGTGGGCGCCCCAGTGGGTGCCTCGAGGTGGCTTGGCGGCGCCCATTGGCTGTATGTCCCGGCTGGGGCTGGACGACGCTTCACCGCTTCTTCCCCCCATCGACAACCGCCCACTGCAGCGAGACCTAGTCGCGGCATAGCCCATGGTTAACCCGCCTTTCAGCGTCTCCAGCAGTCTTCTCCTTCTCCATCTGCTCCAAAACTTCCTCCCTTCACCTCTTCAGGGACTTCACGAAAGAGCGGTGTCGTCCGCTCTGTTCCTACAATACTAGCATCTTCCGCCTCTCCTCCCGCTCCGCTCCCCTTCTGCCTCTTGCCCAGAATGACCTTCGAATTCAACAACGGCGGGGGTGATGCCTATCTGGATCTGACCTACGACCACCGGGATCGCGCTGCCTACCAGTCATACTCGACCGCCACAACCCACTCGAGTCCTTCGGCCGCCTCCAATATCATGCCCAACAACGCTCGCAACTGGGCCGTTCCGCTCGACATGGCCTCCAACAACTCTCACGGCCATGCCTCGCTCAGTCCCGAGGAGCATCAGTCTTCACCTCTTTCCCAGTCCGCCAGCCCGCACAGCCAGCACTCGCCACTACAACAGTCGCCTTTCCAGCCGACCGCGAACCCCTTGACCGACTGGGCTCTTCAGCAACAGCAGCAGCAACTGGCTGCTCCTGACATGACCCAGTTCATTCAAGATGCCGCCCTCATGAGCTTCACCCCATTCCCCACCAGCTTCCAGTCGCCCAACCCCCTCGACTATCTTCCTCCGACGACCCAGGCCGCTCTGCAGGCCAATCTACTTGAGTCGACATTCAGCGCCATGCCTACCATGGACGACCCTACGCAAGCAGTTCAATGGCCGAGCACCGGAATGGAGAATTGGCAGGAGTTCCAGAGCACTCTGCAGATGGATGGTATGCCTCGTCTCGACAGTGTTGGAAGCAACTCTCCTACTGGCACCTATTTGGAGGTGCTGTCCCTTCCTTCGTCCTCAGGTGAAGGCTGGGCCATGGTGGACTGGAATCAGCCCAACTTTGACCAGTTCCAGCAGGCTCACGCTCAGGGCGCCGCTATCTTCAACCCCTCCCAGACCCTCCACCTGAGGACCAACTCGGACTCTTCTGATGGCGCCAATTCCATGGAATTTGGCAGCTTTGAGGAGATCGCACCATTCCCCTACTCTCCCTTCTCCCCCGAGTCCGACGGATATGTCGACGCTGGTAACCACCGTAACTGCTTCGCTGGTGATGGCCACAACCACAACCACGATACCGTCGCCCCTGCCCCCGCTCCCGTGGCTCCCGCGCCTATCAAGTCGGAGCCTTCGTCAAGCCGTCACAGCCCTGGCAGCGGCGCCGGATCGACCTCTCCCCCTAGCAGCACCACCCGCAGGAACTCGGGTCCTCGCAAGAGCCCCATTGCCAAGGCCACCAAGCCCGTTGTCCGCCGCATCTCCAACGGTAAGAAGGACGGTACTGTTGAGAAGAAGGTTGGCCGCAGAAAGGGACCCCTCTTGCCTGAGCAGCGAAAGCAAGCCAGCGAGATAAGAAAGCTGCGAGCTTGCCTGCGATGCAAGTTCCTCAAGAAGACGTGTGACAAGGGAGAGCCTTGCGCCGGTTGCCAGCCTTCGCACGCTCGCCTCTGGCAGGTTCCTTGCACTCGCATCGATATCAAGGATATTGGCTACTTCATGAAGGACTGGAAAGCCGACTACGAGAGGCACATGGACCGTGGCGTGTCTGTCTACAACGTCAAGGGTTTCGCCCAGAAGGAGACTCTCATGTGGATCACCCACGGCTACGGTTTCGCTCTCCCTGTCATGGTTCGCGAGGTCTTTGTCGCCGACGACAGCTGCTTCTCGGTTGACTGGGTTGAGTCTACCCTGACCGACCAGGAGCCTATTGACTTTGAGACCCGCACCGAGAAGCTCGATGTTGGAGCCGAGGGTATCCGTCTCGATGCTCTCTCCGAGTACCTCGACAAGCACATTGATGGCCCCTTTGAGGACTTCATTGATGACCACTTCGAGGGCACTCCCTTCATCACTGAGATCCTCAAGACTGCTCACCGCTACTACGTCAAGGAGAAGATGCCCGTCATCCGCAAGGCTCTCAAGCTTGTCCTTGCCTACAACCTCACTATGCACATCACCATGGTTGAGAACCAAGGATCTGAGGTCAACCTGGACGGACAGATCGACGATGAGGACTCCAAGTACTACGGCCGCACCGTCGCTCCCGTCATGATCAACTTCCAGATCAAGTGTGCCCTTGCCGACATGTGGCGTGAGCTCCAGAAGGACATTCTTGAGGAGCTCTCTGCCCTGTACTCTGGTGTCTACAGCGGTGAGAAGATGAAGAACTGGCCTACCATCTTCATGATTGCCTCCATCCTGCTTGCTGTCTGGGAGGAGATGCAGTTTGACTGCCACTACCGCGTCCCCGACCCCGTCGCCGTGAACAAGTTCTGCACCGACATGGAGACCACTCCTGTTGGTGTGATTGTGGGTCTCTTCCACGCCATCTCCCAGAAGCTCCCTGCCTTCACCGATTGGGACACCCGCAAGCACGGCCACCTGCTTCACAACAACGTCTCCGTCTGCGAGGCTATGACTGAAGTGCGACAGCATGTCATCAAGCACGGTATGTTATCAATTGTTTCTCAGTATGGTCTTGTATACTAATACCTATGGCAGAGGCCTATCTCCGTACCCGCAAGGAGTCCAAGTTTGACCGATACGACTTTGACTCCCTGTCCAACAAGTTCCTATCTAAGCTTGTCATCCGGGCCAACTAGATTCCTCACCTGACAAATACTGCTGTCGCAAGACATGAACGGGCCCCATTGTGGCGCCCGCCCTTTCCTTTGTTTGCATTTGTTTTGATCACAGCGATAGCGTTGGCAAGATTTCTTCAATCTTGGTCGACAGCGACCTCCAGAATTGTCCTTTCAAGCATACGAAACACGACTTTAACCTTCTCTCACGGCTGGTCACCGCCTCAACAACAACACGAAGTTACCTGACACGGGAAGATGTGTTACGACCTTCTTATGACTTTCTTCTACGAATGTATGACTTGAAGAAGACAGCGTTTTAGTTCTTTTACAACATTTTTTTTTTTGCTCTTGAGAGAGGGGGGAGACGTATCACGCAGACGAGCGCATCCCACCCTTCTGCGGTGTTTTTATGGGATCATGTTTGACGATGAGGCATTTGAGGAAATGACAGATATTGCATGGCTATGTATGAGCCTACATGAAGAGGGAGGTGCTCGTGAAATTACTAGGGCGTTGGTGAGCTCAAGTGGGCAGGACCTTCGACACAGGGCAGCAGAGCGGAGCGGACATTGTTTTACTTGCGTGTTTGATAACGGGATTTGGGATAGTTACAAAAAACGGCTCATATTGCTAGGCAAGTGCTGTAGCGCTGCCACGAGAATATTGAATTTTACAGTTCCCAGCTCTCAGTCTCCCTCGACTTTGTCGATTATGAAGGTGACTGAAGTGAAGGGAGGATTTACGACATGATGATTTACACGATGATAGCACAGAGATAGCAAGTGATGGTTTCTTGACAATGTGACCGTTTGCAGATCTCTTACGAGAGTGACACTGTGCATTGAGGCGGTGACCCCTGAACGTGTTTGAGACTGCCGGATCGATGACTGTATGTTCAAGCCAAGATACCGCACGTTGAGAAGACAGAGACAAGCGACACACCGCACGTGGGATGAAGCATATGTACGCATCTCCTGACATGGAGCAACCGGTGGATGCAACGCTAGTAGGCTGTTAGGTTGACAGTGAAAACATGAACTGAAACATGCCCAAAGGATCACGAGATGGCGTATCTAAGACATTAGCAATCAGCAATTCAATGGCACCCTGATATCTGCTTGTTGAGGGAGCTTGATGGGCAAACGGAAAAGTGCATAAAGCTACAGCATCAGCTGGACCTTGGTAGACAAGGCGTTATCGAACTTAGCGTCTGGTGGTGCACCCACGATTCCAAAGAGGTTGGCGACAGCAGAGGGCGGGGTTTGATAAGACGTGATGACTCGCGACGCAGCGCAATCGGCGCTTGATATCGCAAAAACTTGGGCAAAGAGATGCGCGAGAAAAGGAAATTAAATGCCATCATTTTCCGATGGTGTGTCGTTTGTTTCCGGAAGGTCGCCCAACCTCGTTCTCTCGCTGCAGAGCAAGGCCGAAGGGCGAAACAGGGGCAGCGCGAACATGGTGTTGGGCCTTCTTAAGAGAACAGGGACCCCACGGACGCAATTCGTTGGCCGATGACGTCGCGAACGCCGAGGAGACCGGATTCAGAGGGTGGCAGAGTCGGTGACCCCGCACCGCCTGGGCTATCGCTCTTTGGGCTCAGACTGACATGACGAGTTCGGCGTAGCAGGCTGCGGTCGCTGTGTGTTTGTGTCTCGTCTCTTGCTCCCGAGGTTGTCTCCACTGCCGCGACTGGAATCCGGGATCTCAGATTGGAAGCGTTTTCTGTTCCTGAGCCAAAAAGCTTGGTTCCTGGAACTTGGGGCAGTGATCATCTGCTTCAGAAGCGGCTATCATCTTACCCGGGCATCAGATGCGGTTCACTGTCGAATGGCAGTCAGTTGAAGCATTCGACCATGCATTGCTTTTGGCCTTTCCCGGGGTAAAGTGGCGACAGGGACGCCGTCTGGGCCCGCCACTCCACTGCGGCGCCCGGCCGCTGGCGTCGGATGATGGTGAATCACGGGTTCCAGGCTCTGGCTGGATAAGACGGTGACGGCCAACGAGTGCTACCGTAGCCATCCATGACGGGCACAATAGGCGAGTAGTTCCCCCCACGTTTTCGGTTGGGCAATTGTCGTGAACAGATTTTTCTCTTTGCGGCTATTGTGCTTTGTAGCTGCATTTCAAAGGCTCTTCCAGAGCTTCCTCGAACAAGCCAGATTCATGCCTTTATTCTGACATCAGTCTTTCGGCGTCGAAGGCCCCACACGACGATAAGATACCAAGGGCGAAGTAGCGGCTACTTCTTGTTTCACCCTGCATTCGCTTGTAGTCGAGGTACCTAGAACGGACAGGTGGGGCCCTGCAGCCTGCTCCAAGTTTCTGGAGCCTTCCCTTGGCGAGGCCTGATTGGTCTCAGTGAATCATCCGCCCCCGAACAGAGCGCTCCGGCCTGCCTTGTTGTTCGTCACTCGTAGGCGTAATCCGGCAACTGCGCCCCCCTCCCACCTTCCCTGCCCGCCGGTTGCCCGCTTGATTATCAAACAAACAGGCACACCTCTCTACTACATAAACCCGACCGCCTCTCCTCAACTCTATCTTTCTTTCCTTCCTCCAACACTCACTCTCATCTCAGACTTCTTTGCAGACGAGACCCGCGACTCATCTCCACGATACCGCATCATCCCAACGACTATCTTTCCTCCCAAGACATCCGCTCAACACCGCCATCATGCAGATCTTTGTTAAGACTCGTAAGTCACCTCGCGTCGCCGCCACTCCGATAACGCAACGATACTGACCATTATTCTAGTGACGGGCAAGACCATCACCCTCGAGGTTGAGTCCTCTGATACTATCGACAATGTCAAGTCGAAGATTCAGGACAAGGAGGGCATCCCTCCTGATCAGCAGCGCCTGATTTTCGCCGGCAAGCAGCTTGAGGATGGCCGCACCCTTTCCGATTACAACATCCAGAAGGAGTCCACCCTCCATCTCGTCCTCCGTCTCCGTGGTGGCATGCAGATTTGTAAGTTTCTTTGTCATCGTCGCTCCATCGCCCAAACTAACATCCCGCAGTCGTCAAGACCCTGACTGGCAAGACTATCACCCTCGAGGTGGAGTCTTCCGACACGATCGACAACGTCAAGTCGAAGATCCAGGACAAGGAGGGTATCCCCCCCGACCAGCAGCGCCTGATCTTTGCTGGCAAGCAGCTTGAGGATGGCCGAACCCTCGCCGACTACAACATTCAGAAGGAGTCCACCCTCCACCTCGTTCTCCGCCTTCGCGGTGGTATGCAAATCTTCGTCAAGACTCTCACTGGAAAGACCATCACCCTTGAGGTGGAATCATCCGACACGATCGATAACGTGAAGTCGAAGATTCAGGATAAGGAAGGAATTCCTCCTGACCAACAGCGACTTATCTTCGCTGGCAAGCAACTCGAGGACGGCCGAACTCTCAGCGACTACAACATCCAGAAGGAGTCTACTCTGCACCTGGTTCTTCGTCTGCGTGGTGGTATGCAGATCTTTGTCAAGACTCTCACAGGAAAGACCATCACTCTGGAGGTCGAGTCCAGCGATACCATTGACAATGTGAAGTCCAAGATTCAGGACAAGGAGGGTATTCCCCCCGACCAGCAGCGACTTATCTTTGCTGGTAAGCAGCTGGAGGACGGTCGCACCCTCTCTGACTACAACATTCAGAAGGAATCGACCCTGCACCTTGTGCTCCGTCTCCGTGGCGGTCAGTAAGCGACCTTCTGGGGAGCGATGGTTTATGATGAGGCGTTTAGGGAATGAATGAACTTTGGAACCAGGCGAGCATTTGCGGCTTGGAATGACTAGCATATCCACCTAGTACGTAGTATTCAACGGGCGCGCAAAAATTTTGCGACGCGCCAATAGACTCATTTGAGGTCTCAAGAAACATTGATTGATTCATGGTGATGTCTGTCTTGTAGCCACTTCAGTGACCTCCGATTATGCAGCTGACACCACTTTAGTGGGGTTCTGCCCCTCACTTGCCGGAAGCCAGTGGACTCATGATGAGTGGGGCCGGTAGGTTTGAACCTGCATTCATGAGGCGCGCCTCAATCTTTGATCTTCTAGAAAAGGCTGTGTTTTTCCAACTTGCGACTTTCTCGTTGTCCCACGCTGCAAGATCATGATCCTCGAGGACATCTTACTTGAATCCCACCACGCACATCCCTTTTTGCCTCCTTAGTAATAGAGTTCATCATTTTGTCCTCTTCTCTTGTTGACTCACATCGCATTAGGCATCTTCAGCATCCCTTTGCTTGAGCGACGCGCAACCGGTCGATCAGCACTGCGCAAGAAGACCAGTACGAGGTCGAAACCGCCAGGCTATGCCGTCTTACTTCTATCACCTCAAATTCGAGCTCTATCCGACCCCTAATCCGGTCATCTCCGGGGTGGTCAATACAGCCGACCGCAAAGATATTTGGCTTCCACCTCCAGAGGCCAGCATCTTTGATGATTTCCCATCTCACCCTCGACCGGACCGACGAACATCCCACCAAATACCGCTCTTCTCCTCTCCTCGACGCGAATCTCCGTCCTCGTCTCCGTCTCCGTTCACAGAGCAAGGCTCACCTTTTTCGACCCCGGGCGTCATAGACTGTGGTACGGCAGCGCGCGCGCCGGTGAAAGGGACTGAGCGCAAGATCGAGATTTTGTCCGAGAGGCAGTGGCTGGAGCGAACAAACAGTTTCCCGCCTCCCCACTCCAGCGCAGCGATCCGACCTCAGAACGCAATTAAAGACTGGCGATTTGGACGTGTGAGCATCGAGACGGTCGACTTGCAACCAGGACGCATCATGGCGGGGGAAACCAGTCGAGCAGGGCCATCTGCGGCGCCGTCCCTGGGGCCTACCTTTGGAGGCGCAGGCACAGCGACAAAAGCCGAGTTCCTTCCACTCGAGACGAAGAACACAGAAGTCGGATGGGGTGTGGTACACTTCTATCGCGACGGGGAAGAAACACACGGGATGGGAGAGGCTGAACATGGTGAAGATGGCGCAGAAGAGTCAAAAGACATCGACTACACCACACTCTGCATCCCTGCCGTACCTGCTTATATGTCTCCCGGAGACCTAATGGGGTTCTTGGGTGAGAAGTGGAGGAGTGACATCAGCCACTGCCGTATGGTTATGACTTCGAAGATGAATCGATATCTCGTCTTGCTCAAGTTTCGAGATAACCGTCGAGCTAAGCAATGGCAACGGGAATTTGATGGCAAAGTATTCAATACTATGGAGGTAAGCTATTTAACTGTTTCTAAGTCGCATGTTGCTAATCAGATACAGCCCCAAATATGTCATGTTGTGTTCGTAAAGAGCATTACATTTGAGACTCCCACTCGGAGGAAACCCAGCAACAGCCTATCCGCTTTATCATCATCCGCCGGCATGTCGAGCAGTCTACGACCTTTCCCTCCCCCAACACCGAATTTGGTCGAGTTACCTACCTGTCCTGTGTGCTTGGAACGGATGGACGAAACAAACGGACTCATGACCATACCGTGTTCTCACGTATTTCACTGCACCTGTCTTCAGAGCTGGAAAGGAGCCGGGTGTCCAGTCTGTCGATTCACTAATACTTCACTCGATGCAGACTCAGATCCATCAAGTCCTTACACACAGCCGTTTGGCTCTGGGGCATCCAATCTCTGCAGTATCTGCGACTGTGCGGACGACTTGTGGATATGTCTGATCTGCGGGTACGTTGGTTGTGGCCGGTATAAAGGCGGCCATGCAAAAGATCACTGGAAGGAGACGGCTCATAGCTTCGCCCTTGAGCTGGAGACACAGCATGTCTGGGACTATGCCGGGGACATGTGGGTGCATCGGTTGATCCGCGATAAGGGAGACGGCAAGGTAGTAGAACTCCCAGGCAGAAACCGATCAGTGGGCCACTTGGAAGAGGAAGATGTGGTGCCTCGAGCAAAACTGGACACCATCGGGCTGGAGTATACGCACCTAATCACCAGCCAACTTGAATCACAGCGGGCATATTACGAAGAAATGATTAGCAAGGCCGTCGACAAAGCCTCAATGGCATCTGCAGCGGCTGAGGACGCGGCCAGACGGGCCACGCAGGCTATGGAGAAGCTCGCGTTGCTGGATGAAAAGTACACGACTCTCAGTAAGGAGACTATTCCTGAACTTGAAAAGGAGCTTGCTCGTGAGCGCAACAAGGCGAGCAAGAGTGAAGCACTTGCCCGCAACTTTGGCAAGGCGGTTCAAGAAGAGAAGCGACTGAATGAAGGACTTATGAAACGGATCGAACATCTTAATACCGATCACGAGTCAATATCTCGGCAACTGGAGGAGCTCAAAGCAGAGAATGCTGATCTCAAGGAGATGAATCGTGATCTGAGCATGTTCATCTCTGGACAAGAAAAGCTCAAAGAGCTGGAGAATGAGGGCAAGATTGAAGAGGGTGAACTTGAGGGAGGAAGTGCTAGTGTGCCTGAGAAGAAGGGTAGGCGACGGGGAAAGCGATAATCAATGACATCAGCGATCGAGAAACGCAAGTTAGAAGAGATGGGCTGTAATAGTGGCAATAGGTAGGTAGTTCATGCAGCGTTGCTTTTGTTGAGGCTTGGAACAACAAACCAACTCTACCACACATATTCTCTCCATCAGGCCCAGGAACATCCTCTTCCAGAAGTGAGGTCCGATTCACTGAGATGACACATGAAGACCGAGTAAAGCATGATAACGGCTTGTCACGAGCCAAAAGCAAGGGTCTTTTGCCTGCCTACAAACCCAACCCAGCGCCGCAATCCGGAGATCCCTTCGCCCTCGGATAGATGCCGGCTTACGAACTTGACCCGGAACGCCCCTCTCAGAGCGAGCCACATGCCGCAACTCTCAACCACAGCGACTGGCGGGTATTTTTTGTTGGGGAAGGGCAAGTGGAAGTGCGCGATGACCCGACCCCATGGGCACACATGGCGGGAGAGAGTTGTTTTGTTTGCTTTCCTTCGTCTCCGTTAGCTCCGGTAGGTATGCAAAAGGGCCTGCGGCGCAGAAGCGCCTGGCATGTGAACGAATGAGCGCACGGATGTATAGAGGTTCTGGGCGTCTTGTTCACCTATGCTGCAATGACGAGCTTGTCGTGGGGGAGGATCTTCTGTTACGTGAGCGGGCTGTCGAACTGAAACAGTATGGTGAGCCACAATAATGGCGACAATAGTGGTGTGAATCAACTTGTGATTGTGGTGTCTGAGTGAGGGGAAAACGGCTGGGTAGGGGGGAATTGTGATACAGGTAATCCCATGTTGCTGGGGTATTTTGCCTGTGAGGAATGGATAAAAGAGTCCTGAGTCTATTGTTCCCGTCTCGTATGTTCTGGTGATATTACCAGGTACACTATTTGTTAGTAATGGATAGCTTGATCGGTAGGCGACTTTGATCTCATCATGATGCCTCTACCCGTTGACCATCTATGATCCGTACCGGATCTTGGATGAAAGTGGGGTGACGGTTCACAGCTCGCAGGGGAAGCATGTCACAACAGCCGGGGCACGGAAGTTCACTCTTGACACCGAGGGACATGTCCGTACTGTAACTTGCTGGGCCGGGCTGTTCTGTTTGTTGGAGCCTGGCTAAGACACAAGAAACGGGCGTGTAATGAATGGGCCCCGGCCCGGATGGAGCACCCATTGTCTGGATATCCACAGCGAGCTGCATGTATCCCGGTCAGTTGGAAAAAATATTCAAGTGGAAGGGAAAAAAAGAGGGAAAAATAAGGAAAAGATCAAATAGGAGGCGTCTACAGCTTCACGTTTCCTTGTAGGTGTCATGAACTCCCCTTTACCTTTTCTCTCCTCTAATATCATTGCCCTCAAAAGGTCCAACGGGAAAGCATCTGCACCTTCCCCGTTGTGCCCAGCACCTTGGCCTGGTCGTAGCTTCCCAGCTTCAGAAGGCAACCTTTCCCACCTGGGCAGGCACCTCGTCTTTTTGCCTTCCCCTCCCTGGCCCCAACCCCAGCCCCAGCTATTTCTGTATTCTCATCCCATCACATTCTGTCGCCAGACCCCGAACCCGAACCTGGAGATCTCGACTCGACTCGTCGGCGATACTCGGTCCTTACTTTGGTCTATACCTTGCTCCCTCGAACGACGCCGCCGCCACCGACCACGCCTCGCTCGCTTCTGATAGCCATCTTTATCGGCCGTCCCTAGTCCTCAACCGCCCCTCATTAGCAGGCCTTTGGCCCGTTCCTCCTCAACCTCTTGTCTATACCGATTACCTGTCGCTTCAACTTATACACTTGTAAATCTTGTGCATTTTCACGAGCGCTGGTTTCCTCCTCGCTCGCCCACCATGTCTGCAAAGGCTGGGACGAAGAACGCGGCAGCGCCGCAGTCCGCGACAAACCCAACCCCGCAGAAGGAGCTCTATCCCATGGTGAACTGGAAGTATGACATGTTCCTCTACAGTGTCGGCAACATTGTCGACATGTTCTTCCGCGAGGTCGTGCCTCGAGGCGCCTGGCGCGTTCCTCAGACCGGCCCCGTGCTGTTTGTTGCCGCGCCGCATGCGAATCAGGTCAGTTGATTGTCATGATTTGCGCCTAGTGTTGAGATGAGAGATGCGCAACTTGGGTCAGACGTGGAAGATGAGGATTTTTGCTGACATTGACCTCAAATTAGTTCGTCGATGCCATCATTCTTCAGCGAACCCTCCGCTACGAAGCCAATCGTCGAGCGTCTCTTCTCATCGCCCAAAAGTCCGTCCACGGCTTCATCGGCTGGGGCTCGCGACAGGTCGGTTCCGTGCCTGTTGGTCGCGCTCAAGATGCCGCCAAGCCCGCCACTGGCACCGTTTACCTTCCCGATCCCATCAACGATCCTACTCTAGTTCGTGGAATCGGTACCAAGTTTGGTGAGGGCGAGGGTGAGATACAGGGCATGCTCTTTCTCCCACCTGGCAAGAAGACGACAGGTGCCAGTGTCGATATCGCTCAGATCCTCGGACCCGAGGAGATCCGCGTGAAGCGACCATTCAAGGGCAAACTCGCCTTGGAACAGCTCACAGGCCGCGATGACATTGACAAGGACGGCAACTTTACCAACAAGGCACATAAGGGCCCTGCCCCAGGATACCAAGGCACCAAGTACAAGCTGGCACCTCATATTGACCAAACCAAGGTCTACGAGGCTGTCTTCTCGCGCCTGCGCAACGGTGGTTGCGTGGGTATCTTCCCTGAGGGAGGTAGTCATGACCGCACTGAGCTTCTGCCTCTCAAGGCTGGTGTCGCTATCATGGCCCTGGGAACTCTTGCCGAGGATCCCGACTGTGGGCTCAAGATTGTGCCTGTGGGCATGAACTATTTCCATGCGCACAAATTCCGTTCGCGCGCTGTTGTCGAGTTTGGCGCTCCCTTTGAGATTCCCCGTCACCTTGTTGAGCTGTACTGTAACAACCAGCGCCGCGAGGCCATCGGTCAGGTTCTGGACATGGTTTACCAGGGACTCAACTCGGTGACCGTCTCGGCGCCAGACTACGACAGTCTGATGATGATCCAGGCAGCTCGGCGACTCTACAACCCCACAGGCAAGAAGCTCCCATTGCCCGTGGTGATTGAGCTCAACCGAAGGCTTTGTATGGGCTATGAGCGGTACAAGAATGACGAACGAATCACTTCTTTGTCTAAAGCGGTCAAAGAGTACAACTCGCAGCTGCGCTACCTGAACCTCAAGGATCATCAGGTGCAGTATGCCAAGATGTCAACCATCAAGGTTGTGTTCCTGTCCATCTACCGCTCCATCAAGCTCTTGTTTCTCTTTATCTGCACCTTGCCTGGGCTGCTCCTCTTCTCGCCAGTCTTTGTGGCCACCAAGATCATCAGTCGACAAAAGGCCAAGACGGCTCTGGCAGGTTCGACGGTCAAGATCCGAGGTCGCGATGTCATGGCTACGTGGAAGATCCTAGTAGCGTTAGGATTCGCACCTACGCTCTACAACATTTACTCGATAATCTTGTCACTCAAGGTCTGGCAGGATCGGCTCTGGGGCCATGTTCCTGACTGGGTGCCCTTCTGGTTGGTTTACTTCATGGTGTGGCCCCTTATGGTTGGCATCACATTCGCATCCCTGCGTTTTGGCGAGGTCGGCATGGACATCTTCAAGTCCCTGCGACCGCTGATGCTGTGTCTGAGTCCGTCGTCGAACTATAACATTCACAAGCTGCGGCTCAGGCGAGCTGAGCTGAGCGCTCAGGTGACGGATGTGATCAATACTCTTGGCCCTGAGATGTTTGATGATTTCGACAAAGTGCGCCTTGTTCCTGACCTGTTCAAGACCGAGGGTGGTGCTTCAACGTCTCCAACTTCGCGTAGACGACGAGACAGTGATCAGTCGAGCACTGGCTTCGATGCCGAGACACCACCAGCTCTGTCGCGACGAAGCACGACACAATCGAGCCGAGCACTGCCACGCAATGATTCCTTCAGCAACATTGGCACGGTTGGCATATTCTCGACAAGACCACCATCCCGAGCACGCAGCCGATCCCGGTCGAGCAGCAGTGGAGGCGGGTTTGGATCTGGTGGATTCTCTATCAGCGGATTCACTACTCTGGACTCGGCTGGCGGGTTTGATGAAGCAAGCCGCAAGATTCGAGAGGCGATGAAGGTTCGAAGACGCAAGACAGACCAGGAGAAGACGGAGGGAGAAGAGGAAGAGGAGGATAGTGAGGAGGAAGGTTACGATGAGGCAAGGAAGAAGAACACTTAGAGGATTGAACGAGAAGGCTGGCGAGGAGTCTAGAGGGTGAAAAGAGGAGGCGAGAGCATTTTGTTGTATATTGAAGTTGGTTCACACGACATATTTCCTAGCAGGTTTCCATGGGGCTGCTGCATTGGATGATATCCCTATGTCGGGACACGTTGGCTTTTCAAGGGCCAAGCCATTTTAGGAGTTGAATACCACATCATACTGTATCATGACATGCATTGGCTGAATAACTCTTGTCGGAGGTTCTGATCTCGGTGATAACTTGGACGGGCCAAACTGTCGGAGTAACTGTCGGGGTTCTCTCCACGGTGTAGATGTGCTACAACTTTGCGGTGCAGGTGACACGGCAGATACAGACGAAGGCAACCAATGCCGACCAGGTTATTTCGGAAATGTTGGAGTTGCCCAATAAAGCATCTGTCATAACAAAGACAAATGCCGTTTCAACAGGGAGCTCATTAGCTGGCAATGTGAGGATGAATGGGGCGAGAAAAGTAGCCAAGCGGGCCAGAATGTCGAATAGAAGAGCTCCACAAATTACGAACAGGGGGCCTGGACTCGCTATGAAAACCGAACCGAAAATCCAGACCAGGTGACAGGATCTGATAAACTAGGGAGAGCCGACGTAATGACGTGCGTAAGTACTATAATGCGGTAGGGCCTTTCGGTGGTCGGAGATAGGCGGAGAGTCCGGGGGTGAATAATACAGCGAGTAGGAGATAGCGGCTTATTCGAAGGGGAAGCAGCATATAAAGCAACCAGTTTCTGCCTGACTGGATTGATTCCTGACTGACGGTGAAAGATCTTTTGAAGCGCATTTTGCGCTGATTATCAATCTGATTAGCTTGGGTAGCGATTCCTTTTAGAGCTGCAGCCAAGGTTTATCATTTCCAATCTTGAAGAGACACGAGGAAATATCCCACCAGCCAAAGCCGATCCCACAGAATCTTTTCAGTGGATCAGGTAGGCAGTGCCGAACCGAATTGAGTGAACGGCCCAAATATCTACCGGAACCGTTTATCGGGCTATTACATTACATTATATACAATGACCTCCCCTTCCCATCCTCCCTCCTCCTCCTCCACAACCGCCGCTCCACCTTCTTCCCTCCCGCGCATGCCCGCAAAGCAAAGAATGGCACTCTCCCTCAAGTCGTTTGTGAGCTCGGTGCTGGGCGGAGGCGCTCCGCAGCCGCCGTCTGCCACGGAGCTGTTTGTCAAGGTGGACCCCAAGGTCGACGGGGAGGAGTGTCTGCACGACTGCGATGGCTGCACCGCGAGGTATCCGAGGGGGTTCAAGATTGAGACGGAGGATGTGCTGTATGGTCAGATCAAGGCTTGGAGCACGCATTTGCTCGTGGGTACCGGCAAGACGGATTGGGTGAGGGATGTGGCGGATGAGAAGGGGAGCGTCATGCAGGCCGTCGAGAAGGCGAGTGCGCCTACCAACGGGGTGAGTAATATTTCTGTGTAGACTTTCATATGGGCTGGCTCTTGAACGAGCTTGCATTCGTATGAGGGTTCATTGGGTGATCATGATTGTTAACATGTTGTAGAAACTCATGCTCTCGGCATCCAATATGCCCACTCCTCACGACACCGACGACTACTCGGAGCCCACCACTCTGCTCCTCCTCCCTGCTTTCAAGCTCATCCACAATGCTCACCCTCTTAACGCCCCCCAACTCATCACCGAGATCATCAACCAGGCACCCACAAGCACTTCCCCCCTCTCCCCCACGCCCCTACCTGCTTCCCTCCCTTCCCCAGATCCTGACGCCGGGGTTCCCGCTCTGTCTTTGACTGACTGCCCGCACAATGCCGTGATCCTCATGTGCAGTCATCGGACACGAGATGCGCGGTGTGCACAGAGCGCCCCGATTCTGAGGAAAGAATTTGAGCGCCAGCTAAGGCCGCTGGGTCTGTACCGAGACCTGCATGATGAGAGACCAGGTGGTGTGGGAATCTACTACATCAGCCATGTGGGAGGCCACAAGTACTCTGCCAACGTTATGATCTATCGTCGACCAAACGCCTTTGGCCTAGACGGCACGACGCCGGGCGAGACCAACGGGACCACCACGAATGGGGCTCAAAAGACCAACGGCCACACAAATGGCTCATCAGAGGAACAAGCCGGCACCGTCGGTGCCTCGCAGGGCATCTGGCTAGCACGAGTCAAGCCCGAGGACTGCGAGAACCTAATCCGCTACACAGTGCTCCGAGGCAAGGTGGTCAAGCCCGAGAGTCAGCTGCGGGGCGGCTTTGACCGCGAGAGGGGGCTCATGAGCTGGTGATGATGGAGCAGAGACTGACGGATACCCCGTGGGAGAAGGATGCTTTTTTTTTTTTTTTTTGGAGAAAGAATGCATCATGATACCTGAACTGCTTAGAAGGAAGGAATGAAAAAACATATATAGACATGCATTGCCCATAGACAACAGGGATGGGATATCTATCTCACCAGCTATGACGACGGCTAGTCCGAGATCCATCGGTTAACTTGGACAAAGTGAGGAATCATTATCAAGCCATGGACGTGAATACGAACGTCCTCGTATCATTGGATCATGATCCCAGTATCCGTACTCAGCCAAACACATGCCACGGTGCAAGGTCTTATCCATGATAGGCTACCCATGATGGAACGGACGGACCGGGGATACACCTCGGAGATCTACACTTTGCGTACCTTGCATGTGCCAGAGCCTCACACACACCCTCGGGTTTCCATCTTGAGTAGGTCGTCCCTGATCGGGTGAGGAAGTTTCTCGTCTGGATCGGCGCCACGAGTGGAGAAGTTTTGAAACGGCAGCTGTCAAGGAACAGCGGCGCCATGTCACCGTTGTGGCTGGTCTACGGGTTGACTCGTGTTGGGGCTATTTTTTAGCTGCCTTGTTTTTTTACTCCGTCTTGCGTGTTTCTTTTCTCCTTTTATGGAACCGTGGGTTAAACGTGGTTGGATGTCAGCTTTGGACAGTATATGTTCAACTGTGTTGTTAAACTGGAGCAACACGGAAGATTCCATGCTTAACTAAAGAACACATTGAAGAATGGAAATAAACAAGGAAAACAATAGAGATGATGGTTCTTCATGTCAAGAGTAAAGATGGTGTGCAAACCAACAACCAGTTCGTCAACTTTACCAACCCATCTAGGCCCAAGCTCCGAAGAAACAAGCAGAGTCGAGACCAGAACAACAAGCTTTTTTTTTTTCTCCTGTCGATCCACCCCGGGACTTTTACCCAAAAACCTTGTCCCGTGTTTCATCAACTTATCGCTCCCCTAGCTTCCACGCCAATCAAGGGCGACCTCTACCGACGACAAGGACACCAGCGCCAGGAACGTGGTGGATAAGGGAACTTTTCTCAATGACAGTGCATGGGGCTAAGCTTTTAGATGTGGGTTCATCAGCTTTTTCCCTTGTGATAAGAGACGGGATGTTGCGTGCTAGGGGGTTGAGAGAAGGGTATATAGGACAGGTCGCTGCTTTCTTCTTGACTCACTTGTTTTCTGTGTATGTGTCTGTCAACATTCTTTCTTCGCTAAAACATTCTTTCTTGGTCTGTGACCCAAATCTCTCTCTTGACTTTGATTTCCCTGAGCTGGTCTCCTTCGCTACAAAGACTATCTCTTTGTTGTATCAATCTCTACGTCACATACCCTTTACATTCCTTCAACTCTACGACCGTCAACATGAAGACCACCGGTGTTGTTGCCTTCCTTATGGCCGCTTCGGCTTCTCTTGTGTCTGCTCTGCCTACTCCTATCCAGAGTGAGTAGTCCCATCACTAGGATTCTGCGACCTGTGGGCTCTGACACACTTTACAGGCCCACCCCCTCAAGTCTCTGGTTTCATGCCTCCATCCTTTAACAACACTCGTCCCTGGAACCCCAACCGGGCCGCACGAGTTCAGGGCCAGGAGCCCCCTTTCCCTACCGCCAGTGGAAGTGTCCAGGAAGCCTCCTGTAAGTAACTCAATGGATGTGAAGTCTGGTGAACACCTTGCTGACAATGAGTAGTCCCTACTGCCCCTGCTGTTGTTCCTACTCCGACTCCTCTCCCCGGTAACGGAACCGCCTTTTAAAGAGAGACATGAACTATAAATGGGTTACGACTGGGATAGGCTTGGATACTGATCCTTGTGGGATGGATACATGGATGATTAGGACATATAAAAAATGGCACACCTGGAGAATTAGACTCGTTCCTCTGGGATAGATGAGAATAGACCGCCGTGGCACGGCAAATTGAACCTGTGGTTTAGCTATCTCTTGATTGAGATCATGTTACATCTTCTATGCTAAACCTTGAGTATCTCTAGGAACTCAAAGATGACGTGTTGGTTTTCTTGTTGGAATCTGTGAGACTAATAATGGCAATCATCATTCTCGTAGTGAGCTGCTGCTCTTGTCATCTTGGTGTTGAGCAGTCAGTTGCCCTTTTGAGCCGGGACAGGGGCTCTTGACCAATCAGAAGCGAGCATCACATCAACCTCAGGCTACTGAATCAAGCAACTTTGTGTGATCTCTTGGGATTGTTTATCAAAGCTATTAGAGTTGCTAGGCTATCTTTATTTAGTCATGCCATCCAGCAGTTGACACTACTGAACTTGCGGCCAACTCCCCACTAGCTGTGTTGTCTCGCCTTGTTGCGACACCACTTCCGACTTTAACCCCGGCTGTCTTCCACAAACACACCGTCAGCTGTAATATAAGGAAATCCCTCTTCAGCCTGCAAGACGCCTCCAACCAATATACTAGGCCTTTGACCCACGAATCCGGTATGGACAACTCGACGACGCCAGGACCGTCAATCATCAATTGTGACAAAGGAGGCGGACCAAAGGTCCGAGTATATACTCTCATCATCGGCATGGCCACTCTGGCGCGTCGCCCACTTACCGCGAAGCTGTCGGAACCTGTCAGAGTCGACACCATCCAGCCGCGCGAGCTCCCGCATGCCAGCCTCCAGAGCAATCTCAGTCCTGTAGACGCAACGCCGAGCGAGATCCCGGCCGATCAATAGCTTCTGGTACGCGGTCTCGTTGGTGGGCTTGTTCTGGTCACGCACCTCGCGTTGGATCTTGGCGACGTCTTCGTGGATCGAGTCTAGGTCGGAATCGAATTGCTCAGCGACGTTGCTGATGTTGAGGACGGCCATGTTCCAGAGCAGTTGATCCCGCTCCTCCCTGGCGGCGAGGACCTTGCTGTTGGCGTCCTTGTACCGCTCATAGGTCTTTTGGTACTCATCCTGAAGGGCGTCGAGTGTCTTCGTTACACGCTCTCGGTATTGGGGAGAAGACTTGTCGAGCACGGGGTCTTCGCTCTTGTTCTTGCTCTTCTGGTCCTCAGGGAAGAAGGTGCTGAAAGGGAACTTGGTGTAATCGGGGAGGTCGTCGTCCTCGAGGAGGTGAGGCTTGAGGCGTTGCTCCTCGGTCTCGTTGGGTTGACCGCGGCCGCCATTGATGGGGAGGTTGAATGAGACCTTGCCCATTGTGTCTGTTGCTTTGAAAAGAGTGAAGGTGTAGAAGTTGTACTATAAAGGAAGCTGTGGGCTTGAGTGATGTTGACTGGTCAGGACAGACTAGGTCCATCGTCGTGGATATATATACACGAGAGTCACTGGACATTCACAACATAGTCACGCTCCGGAGCTGAATCAGTTAACAACGTACATCATCACCGACAAGTGAACCGGATGGTTGTCACAGTCATGCATACATACGTGAATGGGAATCGAGATATTGGCAGTGTGTCTTGTTTCTCATTTGCATGCCTCATACATGTCTATCTTTCTTCATCATTGGACCTCTGGCGTCCCTCAATCTTTAGCCAAAAAGGCAACCCAAATAGTCTAATTTGCTCATTCCCTTTGCTCGTTGTAAAATCCCAGTGTGACTCGTGAAAACATTTACCCAGAAAAAGAAGAAAAGACCCGTGACCGAGCCCAGTCATTTGTTGCGCCGTGAACCCAAAACGTGAAAGAGTTGTTGCTGTGAATCATCAACTCAAAAAGGACATTACCACCCCTCTTTTGCTCATCAAATAGTTGCTGAAAATAGGTATCGGCATCGCTGAAGCCGAATAGTAAAAATAACAAGGCAGAAGAAATGATGGAAGAGAGAGTAAATCCATCAGTCAGCAATGTCTTCAGTGCTGTGGCTGCTTGATGTACCGGTTCCGGCTGCACTCATATGGTTCTTAGCCATGTTGACGAGCTTCCAGATACCGAATGACACGCCGGCGAGGATGATGAAGAGGATGATGATGATGATGGCGATGACGTCGTTTCTCTTCATTTTGACAGAGGTTGAGAGGTGAAGTGGTTGTGAGTGAGAGGTTGGTCTTGTTGGGCACCAGTTGTATGGTGTGTTGAGTAGATGGGTTGTTGGAGAATGTCTCGGGTTGGTCCAGACAAGAAAGACGTCGATCCAAGATGTGGTTTAGAAATGTCAAGAGATGTCTCAGGCTGTGAAACAGTTAGAAAATCAGAAAATATCTTCTCGCATGATGAGAATCGACATACCCAATAGACTTTGTTGAGTACAGCTGCAGGTGACTTGCAAGTTGGCCAACCAGGTACAGTTCAAAGTAAATAATCCAAGAGAAGAGAGGAAATTCGTTCCAAAGTCGTTCGTGTCTGTGAATTAAATCGTCTCTGAATCGTCAAGATAATTCGTCTCTATAATTCGATAGAACAAGAAGGGAAACTGGAATGTATGCGACTCACATCTGTCAGTTATATAAGTCGTTGCCCCGCCACCGACTTTTTTTTCCCTCTGCCGACGCGTTAAATGGCAAGGCTGGGCGCTCATGGCGCGCCCAGCCCGTAGGAAGGGCCTTCTTACAGGCCATGCAGGGGTTCTTGGTGGGGTCACCAGGGGCTCTGACACGCTGCGACCCTGCCGAGGTTTCCCAGCCTCGCAGAAAACGTCACCCTTTTTTTTTTCTGCAGCCCCAAGTCGAAAGTCGCGATAAAATCGCGTGTTGTTTCAGGGCCAGTCACTGTGTTTAATTGATTGCATCCATTTAATACATTGACGAGTAACAACCCTTGCCATTATATCCGTACATCCATTGAGCTCAATTCACCACCGAAAATACGACACCAAAGTCTACAGCACAACTACACTTCTCCTTTCTCATGTCCGTAAATGACGTGTCTTTCAGCGTGAATGCACCGTTAAAATCAGCAAATACTCCCTCCCATGCGCTCATATCATCACCACCCCAGATGCCCTCGATACATGTCGAGGAGTCCTAAGGGGTTGGCTCCAGATATGATCAAATGATACCGTTTCCGTTCCGTGTGACAGACAAGACAAAATCAACAAAAAGAAGAACCACTCCGCGATCCTTTATCGATCGCCGAAACGCCGTTCAAGTCAGAGGTCGGAGCGCATCACTCAAGCAGGCTCCAGCTGCCCGGTCTTTACATAGTGGCTATCTCTTCAACCCTCAGCCTCGTCCACTTGCGCCTTCTGCTCCTCTCTAATGATCTTGACGTGTCGCTCGTAGAATTGGAGCATCTAAACCTGTGTCAGCCCATGTATTTCCATACCACCTTCAGCTTTGCTTACCTTTTGTGGACACTTCTTGTAGATGATCTGGGTATCATGCTTCGTCTTGTTGCCATTCTTCCAGATCAGATAGACAACCAGCTTGCCGCTACCCTCTTCCTCGCAAGCATCGATCGTCTCGACCTCGTCCTCCCACGAGCCGGCCGGAGGACTCCACTTCTTCGCAGTCGCCGGAGGTGTTGTGTCGGCCGGATGCGCCGCGCTGCGTCGAGATCGCTTCGCAGTTGACGTTGTGCTTGGAGTACCGTTTGTCGTTCGCCGACGCTTCTTGGTCTTGCTAGCTTTTTCCGTCTGCTCGAAAATCTTCTCTCGTCCGCCGATCTTGACAAAGTACTCTTCGAGGATTTCTGATGCGGATTCCCTGCAAAAACGCGTCAGTTGACCTACCACTAAACTGAGCAGCTTTGTCCACTTACTGGAGGTTTTCCTCCGGCTCCCATGTCATGTCCGCCACGGCGTCGTAACCTTCCCACTTGACGTGGAATTTCAAGCTTCCCTGTGATCCCCGTCAGCCGTGTCCGCGCTCAGATTGGCCAAAATTCTACTTACGTCGTCGTCGATGATGTGCTTCTTGATCGCCTCGACGACATACCTGAGGCTCGTGAGCATGCGCAAGTATACAGCCAACACACAACTTACTCGTCCTCCTCGAGATCTTCATCCTCCTCGCCCTCCTCATCTTGGTCATCGAAATCCTCGCCATTGGCCTCAACGTCGTCGTTCGGCTCCGAGACCGCGTCAGCCGAGGCTGACTTTCGTGTCGCGCGCGGGGGAGTAGAGAACCCGCCGGCATCAGAGGAATCGTCGTCACTAAGGGCTTTGTGGGGGTTAGCGATTGCGCTGAAGCGATTGCGATGAGGTCGGGTGGCGTTGTGGAGGCTCCTGCCAAACGCGATCGCGATGCGCTCATCTTTCGTCGCGCGCGACAGGTTCGGACGAGGCAGCGCTGAAGCAGTATCGGAGATCAAAGGCTCAACGTACCTGGGGGCATCTTGAAGAATTTCGATAATAGCGGTCTCGAGGAATTGCAGGCCGGGTTCGGACGATGGAGCTCGAATTATGTTGTAATCGGCTTGTTTGCGCGAGCGCCAACAAAACTTCCTGAGAGAAACCACTTCCAGCTACACAAGAGAGCAAGAGCTACTGCCCGCTTTTGGAGGGGCTGGGGATGTGGCTCGACCTGATAATGTGGCGCAGCTGCACGTGACCCTACCAAACGACCAACATGACTCTGACCGTTTGAAGGATGGCTTGGTGCAAACAAGCTGAGATGCACGTTGGTATGACTCTGTCTGCCCATTACTTTGTCTCGTGCCTTTACAGCCTCGGCGGTCCATAACGTCCGCCTGAGATGCATTAGAAGACGGCCACATCCGACTACTGCGACAATTGAGGTCATATCTGCCCCAACCTGATGCTCTAATGCACCAAATAATGAGCAGACAAACGCTAGGGAGGCCGAATGGCATAACTCGCCCGAATTCTGGAACAGCGCAAGAAGCAAACATGACATAAATCAGCTGGTATTAATTTAAGCTGCGAAGCACTAAAGCAGGAACCTCGCCAGTGAGCCCCATTTTCCTCAACCACCTCACGGCTGAAAGACCTAGTAAGGGGACGCTGCATGTCAACCAACACAACGCTTCAACGGTAAGCACGACACCAGCTCCGTTTACGTTTTTAGACGCACATTGGATGGATGGATACGTATTTCTCCTCGCGATCTGCAAAACAAAACGGGCCTAGCGCATGGTTGAGAGGGCAGCTGTGTCCTCGGCCAGTGGTCACCCAAGTTAGTTGCCGTATCTGCGACCCCTGATAGGCGCGTGTTGCGGCTTTCATTCAGGGGTAAAAGCCGACGGTCGAGAGTTTATCGACGACGACCAAACCGCAGGCGGGTGGCTAAGGCTCAGAGGAGACCCAAGCTCCTCTCCCTCCGAGGTCCTAGCTCCTGAAAACGGAATAGACGGTTGTGCGTTTTACGAGAAACTGGGGGGCCACCGATGCTACTCCAAGGGGCGAGCTCAAGGCTGGCGTCGGTGTGCGGTGGGAGGTGCCCGAGGTGAGGAGGGAAGACGGGAACGAATTGCCGAACAATGCCAAAGGCCCGAAGACTTCAGCGAGCTGTATGTAGGTAGGATCCAGCAGCTGCAGAGCGTAATTAAGCAAATACGGCGTCTGGTTTTCTGCGGTGGTTAAGGGGCATGCAGAAAGCTCACCGTGTCTCGGACCAGGGTGTTGCAGGTTGGCCTCCCATCTCCTCTTGAGAACAACTGGAGCCAGCAAAAACTCCCAGCAGAACCAGCAACCCCATGGTCGGTGCCACCCATGCCCTTGTCGGCGGCCATCCGTGGTCGCCCGTTGGCCAATCCGCTCGGGGCTGGGCGTTTAGCGCTGTGAGACTGCCGATGCCAGTGGTCCAGCCTCTGCTTCCCCGGGCTCATCTCAATCTTGCTTCGCGTCCGTCCGAACGGACATGATTGCTTGCCTCGTGCCTTGTGCCCGTTTACGTTTGCAAGTGCTGACTCTGCAGCGGAGGGACGGGAATCACGTTGTTATGCGGGCATGACGAGTTTGCCGGCAGAGAAATGTTTGACGTTTCATGGATGTCATATCCAACTGATGGCAGACGGCATGGCGAAAAAGGGGAGCCCCAAGGTTGGACGCCATGCAGCCAAATGTGAAATTTACTTGGACGCAACGAAACGGCAGCTTGCCTTAGCTTCACCTGTGCCTCTTAGATTTCGTGTTTCTGTCTGTCGCGTTTACCGTGTAATCTTGTATGTGTCTGCCCGAGAGGCCAAGCCCGCAGGCCGTTGCAGAGAGGCACGGGTTCAATCCCGAGGCCGGACTCTGCCGGGACCGAAGTGTAACCATCATGGTTGACGAGTTGACGTCGACGTTGAAGTGTGAA